CCTTCAAACTGCTCCATAATTCAAATGGATCCTTTAGGATTAAGTATTCGGTCTTTAACCCTTCATCGAGATGATGACAAAGGAAAATCATAGCCTTTGCTTTATCCTGATCTGATGTTTTATTTCCTTGTATAATAGTATTTTCAATAGCTTTTGCAGCAAAGTAAATTTCAGCATCAAGGACCCATGATAAATAATTCTTTCCGGAGATGTCAAGTGTGACAAATTCAAGCTTTGGTAAATTCGACATAATGAAAACTATCATTAAAAAAAATAGATAAATTAGAAGCAATTTGGGTAATTATGAAACAAGAAAAAAAAAAGTCATGTAATATGGTATTCATATTTATATAAACAGAATTCACCAAATTTTTTAATTAATAAAATTAACCAAAAATTTTTGTGAAAAAATCTTAATTGAATTAAGAAAAAAATAGAGGAAAATGCTCAACTGTAATTATGGCAAAGTTTTGTTATGAAATGATTTAATATACGTATTCTATATTTTCTTATAATATCTTAATAACAATTTTATAATGATCTTACAATCTAAATTAACTGGTATATGTGCAGATTAGTAATCAACCTTGGGAAAAAGAAAATTCTCCATACGTAATAACAATGATATGACAACTTTAAAAGAAATATACCAGAAAGCAGAGTGGTGGTAGCTAGTGTGTGCTGGATCGGACTTGAGTAGAAGCTAATTCGTGCTGATAACGTATTATAAATATTACTCAAAGTAACAATATAGAACAAGGAAAAACAAGCTAAAAGATATAGAGAGAAAGAGAGGAAGAGAGATTCTTATTTCTTCTTCAATTGTGTGAATTTTCCTATCTATTACAAAGCCTTTATATAGGCATGAAAAGTGAAGAAACATATGTCATTGAATATGTCATTAAGCATAGAAATATGTCATTGAATATGTCATTAAGCATAGAAATATGTCATTGAATATATTATTAAGCATTTGAGAAGATCGTGGAGGAAGAGTAGACATCCACCATAATTTGATTTTTCTTGTAACAAGAATCAGTTTATACCATAAATAAAGTCTACAATTGAAATGTTCTTTAAGAATCCATAAGTATAGTTAAGAAACTTGCTTATATTCAGCTAAATTTAATATTATTTAGAGAGTTAAAAGATCTCATAAATTATCTTGTTAGAATAATTGGTAATTTTGGAGTAATTTGTTATTAATTTCTGCTCAATATTTCAAATAATTGTAATTGCTAATTTAAAAGCATTGAAAACTAAAATATAATATAGAATACTATTATTAGTGGAATAATATTCTTTATATTTTTTAGGAGTGGGTGTTCGGGCAATTCGAATTGGATATGAGAATTTCTGTTTGGACTTCGGTTTTTAGATTAAAGAAATGACGATCCAAATTCAATCCAAATAAGCTCGAATTGGATCGGACTTTTTAAGTTCGGTTTCAAATTAATCGGCTTGGATATTTTAAATTTTCGGTTTTGAACCTATATGTTGAGATGTTTCTTCTTCTTACAAAAATGAATATCCAAATGAAGTATTTATGTTAAATTGCCTATAAAAGTTCTTCATTCTCGTTGTAATCATCCAAATATTGTATTCATAATAAAATTATCATCAAGAAAATGCAACAAAGACATTAATAAGGCCGATATAAATTAACAATAGTAAAATCATATCCAAATAGAAAGTACTATGACAGTAACTTAGTAATTAATATTGAATATATGAGATAATGCCTTATGGTTAGGGTATTGGACATATTTATATTTACATATGGATAATGGACTAAATATAAAATATAAAAAAAAAATCGGATAACCAAAAATCCGAAATACCAAATCCAACATCCAATCCAAAATCCAAAAATTTTAAAAGTTAAATCCGAAATCCAATCCGTCGTCCGAAAATCGAAATCAAAAATTCAAAAGATTCGGATTTCGGGTTTGCCCAAAATATGCCAACCCTAATATTTTTTAAGTATTCTAATATAGAAGAGTTTCATATAAATCAGAATGTATAAAAGTTTTTAAAATTCTACCACTTCCATTATTATCCAAAGCCAAACGTACGTCTTCTTTCTTTAATGTTCTTATTCTCTTCTTTATTTATTTTCTTTATCATTTATATATAATTTAGGTGTATAATTTATATAAAGTAAAATATTAATGATTTTAAAGTTTTAAATATCATAATTTTTAATACAATTCAAATAAGGAAAAACTTTTTTATACAAACTCTTATATGTTAGAGAATTAATTAAATTATTATTTCTAAATATTCTAAAATAGCATGCGAGAATATAAAAAATATACGAAAAAAGGTCAAATATGCCCTTGAACTATTAAAAATAGAACAATTATGCCCTCCGTTTGCATTTGGGTACAAAATTGCCCTTGCCGTTAATAAAGTGGTTCACTTTTACCCCTCCCCACTAACAGATTCCACATCAAGGACAATTTTGTACCTAAATACAAATGAATGGCATAATTGCTCTATTTTCAATGGTTCAAGGGTATATTTGACTTTTTTCGTATAAAATAATACTTTTTTGGTGAGTTGAAAAGGTCAAAATATGCCCCCTAAACAATTAAAAATAGAGCAAATATGATATCAGTTTGCATTTGGGTACAAAAGGAGGGCACAATTTTGTACCCAAATACCCACATCAGAGAAATATAAAAGTGGAATTTGTGATAGTAACTTATGGATGTATCGATATGCGGTTGCAAATTAAAATAGGAAGATGAAACGAAAAAAATTTCACTATTAATTACTTGATACTCTAATAATAAGATTTTGCATTATGAATTGATATTACAATGTAAAAGGTCATTTTATTATAGATACATCAATGATGAACAATGGCATTGTATCCTTTGAGCAGATACGGATTCGAGTCCCTCTAATGGGGTATTGTTTGGTTATCTTACATGTTAGGACTTAGGAGTTCAAAGAATATAAAAATCAAATCACACGAATTTGATCCAGTAAGAAAATAATAAGTAAAAAAGTGAAGCAGGAGGTTGTGATCAGCTGGCCGGAGGGATTTTCCGGTCAGATTTCTTGTCATTGTAATAATTACTACGTAAAACTTATGGCAAGCCATTCATTTCCCTTTTCTTCTTTTTTTTTTTTTTACAGAGAAGACTTTTTCTCCGACATGGATTTTTAACTCAGCAAAAAAATATTATTTTATACTGAAAATGGTCAAATATGCCCTTGAACTATTAAAAATAAAACAATTATGCCCTCCGTTTGTATTTGGGTATAAAATTGTCCTTTACGTGGAGTCTGTTAGTGGGAGGGGCAAAAATGAACCACTTTATTAACAGCAAGGGCAATTTTGTGTCCAAATACAAACAAAGGACATAATTATTCTATTTTCAATAGTTCAGGGACATATTTGAACATTTTTCGAAAAATATATATTTTACATGTTGTGGTGGAGTGCACAAGAATTTAAAGGGTAGAGTTCCAATCCCATTATTATAAAGTGTCAACTGCTGGGAACATGCAAAAGCTGAAGAAGGCATCTTTTGAGTTTTAAAGAAAAATGGCAAAGAATGTTGAGAGTACCAAAGATTATAGTTGTCACTGAAATGTAACGAGCGGGCATGGGCTAATAACGGAACCGTGTTATTATTATTATTATTACATAGGGAACAAGTAATTTACCCGTAAGTTTTAGGTTATAAAATTTAAAGTAAAAACTTGCTAGACTTTACGAGCAAGTTTAGTTTCTTTTCCCATCTCAATGTGGATTAAGTTTTATGTTAAATCTTTCTTACAAGCCGTAAGGTTTTCCCACTACAAGTAGGTTTTTAATATACTAATCCCTTCTTTAGTTGGAATTGGTTATGTCATAATTATTTATATAAACTGATGTAATTCATATCAAGTACGTATAATCTCTAAACATCTTTTCCATTCTTCTCATTTCAAAATCCATCTTCTTCCAATTATAGTGTTCTATCTTCCTTTCCAAAGCTTTCTTAACTAAGTATCAATGGAGAAATCAGCCACAAACACTAAAATTGATGACCAAACCAATGACGACCCTAATCACTTCAATTTGGCCTTGTGGATAATATTAATTGTACTGGCTATGGCATTGGGGGTTGTCCTTTCTTTTTATTTGTTCTTCCCAGCAAAGGTTGCTAAAGAAATCCAATACCCTAAGTTTCGTCTTATATATGCCTCCTCTTCACTCCTTACCGTGATATGCAATGCGCCACCTTCAGTCTTCGACAATCCTGACAGTTGGAAACTCACTTTCTTAGTTGAGAACCCAACCAATAATTATAATTTCTTATATGATGACTTTGATGCCAAGATTACCTACAAGAATATAGTTCTTTGGCAAGCTAATAATTCTGCTAAATTTTATAAAGACGAAAATGCTCAAAACTTCGTTGATGCAATTTTTGGTGCTTTGCCGGAGAGTTATAATGAATGGATGACTAACACTGTTATGAATGATCTTGCTTCTGGTCTTTCCACAAAATTTTCAGTAAATTTAAATGGAAAAGTTCAAATAAGCCACTATGAGGCACAACGTAATTGTGGAAAATTACAAGTATATTGTGAGGATTTGGAAATTAATTTCTCGCAAGGTTCCAGCATTGGAATGTTGACGGCTACTTCAGATGCTTGTACGGTACATTTGCAGAAATCAAGTTGTTGATTGAAGGTGTTCGGGCTATATGAAAACATAGTTTTTGTTTACTTTAATAGAGTGGAGTAATATTTTTCTATATTTGTAGTGAAAATTATGACAATACGTTATATTCTCTATGTTCCAGTTCTTATCTACTTTTTAATCCAATGTTTGAGATCACACATTTGTAATTTTAAATGTATGACATAATTTTAATATTCTCTTCAACAACTTTCTTTTGCGGTCTTTATTCAAGTTTTAGCATCCTTTAATTAATCTGTAAAATAAGGAACAGAAATTGGCCTTATAACACAATAATCCACAAAAGAGTGCAAAGTAATGATAAAAATGAAGAGTGTCTAATGTTGATAGATCAGTGATCAGCTCCTTATAGGCAGCTGATAGTTCTTTGCCATTACAAAGTGAAAAAAAGGAGTCACTTCAAACAATACACAAATGAATGAAGTTAATCTGAGCTAATCAAGCCAGAACAAAGCCAACCTAACTACTCTGGCAACTAAACCTGATTTTACAAAATTGGAGCTCCAGGCAATAAGCAAGATTATTAATTCTCTTGCTCGTCGAACTAGTGCTTCAAAATGACATGAATATTAATTAAGAGATCAATTACCTTCAAAGAATCAGAACATCTACAATATGGTGCAGTACATATCTAGGATTCTGTCTTTTGTCTCTCGCGGTTTTCCTCCATAACTCTTTGGAGCTCTTTCTCACTTCTCGCTATCAAACGCTTAACAGTGTCAAAAGTGGTAAGCCTAATGCTGCAGGAGAAAATGAAGAGACAAAAACAATGATGTGTTAGGTTAGGATGTTAATATCATCGTCAATGATCATTGCCTGGTAATACTAGTAGTAACAAAATTTCTTCTTATCGGTACCCTTGGAGAATTGTTTGTTCCATCGGGCATGAGCTTACTTACATTACTGGTTCAAGCCAGCATAAAACTAGTCAATTTATGATGAATCCTTAGTGTAATCATCTCATGGAACAAACATGACACTTTATGAATCAACAACGCAAATATGTTTTTTTTTTTTGAATGGCAAACAGAGATTCAATGGGCTGAGAAATACTGCAACGGGAAGACAGCTACTGCAAACATCTACAGAATGACACAAGCTGGAGCTGTGTACTATTTATGGCAAGAGAGGAACAATAGAGTCTTTCAACGCAAGCAGAGATCTTCTGATTATACAGGAGGTTATATTCAGAGGTAGCATGCGGCCAAAATTAGCTAGGAAGATTTACAAACTCAATTTTTATCCTAGCATGGGTTGAGGAGTTTGCTGTGTCAGGAGATATAGTGGAGATGATCTAGTCTTAACTCTAATTACTGGGTGTTGCCAGTTTTAGAGATGTTTTCTTTTGTCTTGAGCTGTACATATTCTTTACTGGTAATAAAATTGTTTTAATTACCAAAAACAAAACGTCCATATCTAAAATGCACCTGCTATTAGGGAGAGTTTTCAGTGCATTGGGAACAAAACCCCTGTATAATCCAACTAAACCATCACGCGCCACTATACCTGAAAAAAGAAAGGGTTCATTTAAACAATCAGAAAGAGTGTTAGGTTGATTAACATTCTCAGTTTAGAATAACTTAAATCCCCTCTCGAGCATGATCATGGATTTCAAAAACTATGATACAATCAGACAGTCACTGAATTTTAAAGGCTTCTTTTCTTTTTCAAATGAAGTGAACTATAGAGTCAACAAGTTCGAGGAATTGAAATCAAAATGTTATCTAATTTTGACATTTCATACTTCTTGATACTTTAAGCTTAAAGGATTTGAAGCACAAAAAACCTCATAAAGTGGAAAACAGTTTTATTAAAGCAGCTGGGCAACAGTATGTACAGCTGTTTTCTTTTACTCCCTCGTCCCATTTTTTATGACCTATGTTGACTAATACGGAGTTAAAAGAGAAAACGGATTTATTATTATCTGGTTTCGGTAGATATTTGTCAACATAATTGTTGGAAGATGTATCAATGTAAAAAATTATAATAATTGTTGGAAAATGTGAAGGGGTGAAGATGTCAACTAAAACCAAAGTTATATAAAACAAAAGCAAGTTATATTATTTTTTATAATGATGGAGTCCAGGCTAGCTTGCGCACACCTCGACTATTTCATCGGTACTTGCTATCTCTCATCAGTACAGGTTCCACGTAACTATGTCTGCCATTAAGGCTCAGAAAAACCGTAAGAAATCACCCAGAGTTTTTTGTCTATAGTGGAATTTGAACCTTAGTCTCCAAGGTTTTTACCTACTTCATTGACCATTAGGCCACACCCTTGCGTGCTTAGTGGACGTTCCCATTTAAGGAACAATTCATTTCTCGACCCGAACTATTAGAAAGCAAGTCAAACAAATAGGGGTAAGGAGCATTCCCTATAAAGCAAGGCTTGGGTATGGGCATAGCAAAGCCTGTGCCAATGACTACTACTATGCACAAAGCCTGAAAAGTTATTGTACTAGCACCAAAAGTAGGCTACACTTTAGCCAGCAAGCCTCAGATCCTTCAGGTAAACTAAGCAAAACTTTGACCGCAGCACATGTAAATCAAGAACAGGCAAGACAAAAATATGGTTTAGATTAAAAGAACAAAGTGTTGAAAGATGGAATGAAAACCTGAACCTTTCAGATTATCTGTTCACAGCCAGGATCAGTATACAGTACATACCAACCAACTTCCACCCCCTCCTCCCATCTCCGCATAAAAAAGAAAGGAGAAGAAAACAACAAGAGATACAGAAAATGACAATCATTTATTATTAGTTACCTGGGAAGGCATCCAAAATGGTCACATAAGGTGTACCTCTCATTTGCATTTGCCTTCTCACTGTGTCCAATGGATAGCACATTAGAGTGGCAATAGTTGCTGAAATCAAACCTGTAACCAGAGATGCTTCAGTTCGTTTCTGATATTTCTCTGGCAAAGCTTTCTTCACCCTGACATTCACAAAAGTGTCATTAGGTTAGAGTACTAACACCAGGACCCTGTTTCATATGATATATAGGATTAAGATCTTCCAAAGAACATAGGCTCACAGGTCAAAAACACAAAAGTTCACAGCGATATATGGAGCTATTCCAATAAGAGAGGGCCCAAGACCATTATAAAAGGATGCGACGCCTTCCTCTTTCAGCATTTTTAAAGCAACCTGAAATCATTGAACTAATTAAAATTATGATCCAGATATGTCCTGGTATAAATAAATTTGGAGTTATCCAACTTTTACCTCACTCATCGTCTTATACCCAGGGTCTACGGCTAATCTCAATCTGAGAACATCTAATGGGTAGGTTACCTGACAGCATAACAACAAGTTAAAGGTCTTGGAGACAGATAAAAAATATAACCAAAATACCAAGAACAGGAATATGAATAATTGAGCTTCTGCAAACTC